ACATTAGATATGTAGACACTTATGCAAATGTTTTTATTGGCAGTTATCTTACCGCATAATAGGCTTTCAAACCAATTATTTTACTCATGTGCCAAAGCATCAGGATGCTTCATCTATGACACCATCAAGTTGGCAATAAATATAAAATATGAGAAGTGTCCATAATAAAAAGATATTTTTCTTGTCTAAGGTTTTAAATTGTAAAACACATTTGAATGATATTTGTGTGATGCCAAGATAAAAAAATCTAAATAGTGTCAATACAATTTACTGATGTCTAGTCAATATGAGTACAGTTTAATTCCTAACTAGTGCTGCAAACTAAAAATAAATTTTTTACAAATCCAATCCACCACCTTGGAGAGAAATCTCAGCTGTGCTGCTGCCATCAACAACTTTGTTTATAGATGTTGGAGATCTGCCTGTTTTTCACTCTTTCTCTGACTGTGACTGACTGGATGTGCTCTCCCTCTATCCTATGACATGGGAGTCAGCTCGGAGCTTGTCTGCCTGGCTGCTTGATTCCTGGACAAGACCGCCTTTTACAGTTGCCTTTGTATCTCTGCTTCTTTCTGTATATCTGCTTCCGTCTCTTTGAACCCTAATCGGCCTCAGCAGATGGCCGCTCACAAGGAGCCTGGATCTGCTGGAGGTTTCTTTATGTTAAAAGGGAGTTTTTACTCTCCACTGTCGCTTAAAGCATGCTTAGTGTGAGGGATTGCATCCGACTCAATGATAGAAATAGCTAGAAAACTTTTAATCAATTTGACTGTGTGATCCGGTGAACTGTAAAGTGCCTTGAGATGATATGTGTTGTGAATTGGCATAAATAAACTGAATTGAATTGAAATCCATTATTCCATTGACTTTCTTAAATTAATTACTGAATAAAAGTAAGCAATTTTCCCCACAGTGTTGTTATTATATTTGCTATGTTGGATCTGGCTCCAGCGGACTTTCCTACATACCCTCTTGAATTCCTGTGGATATACAATGACTCTTTTGAATACTGATTTTGTTTTTATGCCAATTTAAAAACAAGAAATTGAGAATAATTTGGTCACAGTTAGTACAATTATTTTAAAAGTGTGTATAAATTATGCAAACTTGAAATTTGAGGATATTAAAACATAATAAAAGCTTTCAACTGCAAGTTTGCAATTAAAAACTTGAGAAAAATTTCACATTGGAAAGCTATACAAGTACTGCTATATTACATAAAATAAAAAAATAATAAAAAAAAAACATTACCAGCTTCTTTGTCAAGTCACTGTCATTTTCAAGAGCTTTCCACAGTGCTGGCAGTGAATCCATAAGATTTTCAAAGTTGGAGTCTTTCTTCAACCCATAAAGCAACGATGAATAACCAAGCACCGCATCATGAAAAAATGCCACCTGATCCACATCTTGATCATTTTCTCCAGCAGAAATAGATGCCAGATCAACAAAAACTTTCAATTCATTAATATCTGAAATAAGAAGTTTACTTTAGAATCAGCAAAATGTTTAGTTTTTGCCTAAAAATGTTTGCATCTACTGTACCTTCAAGTTCCTTTTTCAACCACTTAATAAATGGTTCACTTAGACTGAGCTCTTGAAGGCAATCCCTGCGTTGAGTTGTTATGTCTTTCAGAAGATTTTTTGCATGAACAAATGTATCATCGATGTAGTTCAAATTATGTGTCTCTGAATTTACTTCATTCTGGAAAAAAAGGTCACAAGATGAAATGTTGGTTTGTTCTATAACACAGTCATAAAATCTTTTCATAATAAATAAATTCAGTCAGATTGAATCTCCTGATGAATTGGAAACCTTAAATATAATGTGAAGAAGGCATACCGATATTCACAAGAACAGTCAGTATGATTTATATTATAGATAGGTTTCAGAGTTGTTTGAAAGTTCATCCATCTTCTAACACGCTAAATCAAGACAAACAACCACTCACACCTAAGGAGAATTTAGAGAAGCCAATTAACCTAACAGTCATGTGGGAGGAAGCCAGAGTACCCGTAGAGAACCCACGCATGCTCAGGGAGAACATGCAAACTCCATGCAGAAATACTCTGGGCTGGGAATCGAACCCAGAACTGCTCAGTGGCTACCCACTGCGCCACTGAGCAGTGTGTTGTTTCATAGTTTTAAGTCTCTAAATGCAAATTCCCAGTTGTTTAGATAAAATCCACAGCTAGGACCTTAATAATAAGTGGTGTTTTAGTGATATTCTACGAAGACTCTATGCAAGAGTGATAACAGTTATACAAGTCGTACACATTCTTTTTGAATTACATGTTTCTTTTCTCTCAAAAAAGTTTTACTTTACAAGCTAAAATTTACAACTGCAGACGCACATGTGTAAT